ACAATTTTTTTTAACTTTAATATACTTACCATAAGAAAATTTTTAAATGTTCTCCGGAAAGTATACAGAGAAGTATGTAAAATCTCCCCAAAAATGACACAAAGGGCACTTCGAGTAAATTGAAGGAAGAATCAGAATGCAAGATATCGTTATACTGCGAAGAAATGGCGTTCAAGGTGGGAAAAGTGTAGCAATGGCGCGCGTGAACGTTTCCCGAAGTAAAACGATTAATCGAGGAGTGTATGGATTTCACCGTGTGTCGCTATTCAAGTCGATATCGCTTAGCTTAAGAATCGTCGACGTTCAACAGCACCGGTTCCTTGCCCGCGCCTTAGAAAGGGAAATCGCGAAATTTATCTGCAGCCGGAAGCGCGCCTGAAGCGTCCCGACTCGCCTCCGTTGTATGCTCAGCACTAACAACATAACTCGATACATGACAGGAGAATCGTACGTGAACATTCAGGAAGTAAGAGTTTCCCTTTCTTCGCGACTAACGAGCGATCGACGAATAAACTATCGAATTGTCGAACATTTCTAATAATTTGGAAAATTCGGATTATTTTGAATACGAATTCTTTGTTCCGACATTTCGAATAATTAGGGTAATGTTGAATACGAATTCTTTGTTCCGACATTTCGAATAATTAGGATAATGTTGAATACGAATTCTTTACTCGGACATTTCGAATAATTTTGAATAGGAATTCTTTACTCTGACATTTCGAATAATTCGGATAATTTTGAATACGAATTCTTTACTCTGACGTTTCGAATAATTCGGATAATTTTAAACACGAATTCTTTACTCTGACATTTCGAATATTTCGAATAATTTTTAATACGAATTCTTTATTCCGACATTTCGAATAATTCGGATAATATTGAATACGAATTCTTTACTCGGACATTTCGAATAATTTTGAATAGGAATTCTTTACTCTGACATTTCGAATAATTCGGATAATTTTGAATACGAATTCTTTACTCGTACATTTCGAATATTTCGAATAATTTTTAATACGAATTCTTTATTCCGACATTTCGAATAATTCGGATAATATTGAATACGAATTCTTTACTCGGACATTTCGAATAATTTTGAATACGAATTCTTTACTCTGACGTTTCGAATAATTCGGATAATTTTAAACACGAATTCTTTACTCTGACATTTCGAATATTTCGAATAATTTTTAATACGAATTCTTTATTCGGATATTTAAATAATTTGGATAATACGAATATTCGAAGTGTTTAAACTTCGGATTGTGCCGAATATTTCATACATTCCGAATATTCAAATTATGGGAATAATTCAACTATTCAAAGTTGAAATCCGAATACACCGAATATTCGGATTTTCACAAAAGCCTTAATCTATACCATTGAAAGCAGACACGTTTCTGCTACTCTAGACAAACGCAACTTGCCATAAAATCGTTGAACACATGTAACGGCATTGGTTACGCAATGATCGATCTTGTACCAAACTGGAGAGAGAACTGAAGAGAAAGAATGTACGAGAGAAATCGCATAGCCGGTTATTATGACGATAACGAAGTGTGGTTTCAATTTTAATCTATCAGACTTTCTAGATAAACTTCATCGAAAGAAACATTTACCGACAAGATTCACTTGTGTATAAGAAAAAACCAAAGATTCATTCCAAATGTTCAAAATCTCCTCTTTCATGTTCCGTATTCGTTCGCACGTTTGCATAATCATTGTTCTTCGTGAACCACCGCAAGGGGAACCGGAAATTTTCGGAAGAAAAAAGGGGGCCGGCCGTTATTCACGACAAGGTAGGCGCCCATCCGGCGTCTTTCCACTGAAAGCAGCGCGTTCTGACGACTCGAGATAAAATTCTGGCCAGGCTGTCAGCCGCAGACTACTCTTGGGACACGGCTGGAATTTTACAGCGGGTCCCTTTACGTGCACGTGTCGGTGAACTTCAAATAACGCTCCCTCCTGGAATTACAATCGAGGGGAAAACAAATTTCAAAAAGTTTCCTTACCAACCTTTTGCATCCTCGTAACATATGCAAAACCGTGCAATATCCTCCTAAAGAAACTACTTTAAACGGGGAATTAATAATCCTATCATTACGCGTTTCATTAAAATTCTCACTCGTTGTAATTTATCCAACGCGAATTATAATTATCCCGCGGCAACAGATCGAGTCTCTGCGTTTATCTACAACCGAGGTTATGCAATAATACTGTTATTAATTTTTCCAGGCTAGACATGTACATAAATTGCTTTAGAAACTTCAATTAGATTCATAATCGGCTAGACACGCGGCAAAAAGAAGCGCGAGTAAATTTCCGCGGTGACGATTACACACTGTTAGCTCTTTTCCCCCCATCGCTCGCCATCAGATAGTCGTCGTTGACTCCTATGAACTGTATGAAGAGACATAATTCAGAGGCTCGATTTTTCATCGAGAACATCCACACCACGTCGTACGCGAAACGTGTGGCGTTGTGTATAGACGTAAGTAAGCAAGAACACCGTTGGACGAGACTTTTTCTCTGTTTGGCTCGCGTTTTCATCAGGCCTTGCCTCGAAACTGGAAAACTACTAAACGACGGATGAAAACACGTCGTTCCTTCCTTTTCACGGCGACACGGTCACTGAATACAAATGTTCCAACGAGCTACGTGCCTTCTTTGATCCTCCTTCCCTTACGACCGTATACCCGACGCTGCAACAATAGCGCCGGATGACCAGCCTTTGTTATTCTTGAATTAATATAGCGCTACACTGACCTCGTATTCCCAATTCTGATATTACAGGAGCAAGTTTGCTCGCTGAGTGATTAATGTCTGCAAATTCATTATTAATACCCATTCTGTGCTCTGCGTATCTAGATTATCAACCCTTCATCTCTGTTTCCCTTTCGCGATATTAATTCTCTATTTCTGCCTCTATCCTCGGCCAAGAATTCTCTAGTTTCACTTTTTCCAGACATTCATTCCTCGTCCTTCCCTTTGTTCCCCTCCGACTCTCTGCTAATTCGTAATTAACCTAAATTGCAAAATTGCACTACTTCACTTCGAACTCCGCGAAACTTCTCCCGAACAGATTTCTCTGAATTTTTCCCGGGAGAAGGAATTCCAACGAAATTATTGTAAAATAAGTGAAGAATTGAAAACTGACACAGTGCCGCCCTAACTGATCAATATTCATGGCAACAGAACCGTGTACACCACGCTGCGACGAGTGTCAAGGAACCATTGTTGTTCGAATATGTTAATTAGCGCTTTTAACGAAATTCTTGCAACAGTTCAGCGGCGTCGCACCATTTCAGGCACTTCGTTAGACGCTGCAACTTTTCTCGGAGCGACTCTTTTTCACGGCTCTCGCCAGAAGTCGGACTTTAACCACGCCGAGGGCAAAGAAACGCGCCAACGTCATTTGCACCTGACGCACAGGGTGTCCTTGGATTAACGAGTGCACAGGACCCCGTGTCCTTCGTTCTTTCGGCGATTTTTACATTGCGATTTATGGTTTTGGAATACGATTTATCGTTGGGAAATGTTTGTCGCTTGTAGCAATCAGGCCAACACGTGGCCGTCACGAAGGATTTTTCGTGTCGCGGCTGTTCGGCGAGGAAGTGATTCATCGGTGTCTTCCTTTTTTTCTTCTGTTCGCAACGAGTCGAGAGTAATGAATCGCTGCATAAACATGATTTTTGACTTAAGTGATTTTTTTACGAGGAATGAAAAATTCACAGTACCTTCGATTTAATTGAATCGTCGAGGATAAACAATATTTGTCATGTTGTCACGTCGAACAGACATTTGTTCAACTCTCTTTTTCTTCTGTTACGTAAGTTTGAAATTCTTGAGACACTCTGTGCATACGCACGTTCATCTTTTCGTTCATTTTTTCTTTCTACTTTGCGTCACGGTGTACGAACAATGAATCCGCCATTCTTTTTACGTTTTGTACTCTTGTAGCTGCTCTTTGAAGAGATACGTTTACAAAAACCACATATGCGTGAAATTTATTCTAATTTCCACTCGAAAATCGTGCTTTTGAATATCCGCAGTGTAATCTTATCCATATCTTCGAATATCACCATAACTACATTATCGTGAATTTAAATTCTCTCTTTTAGCTATTATTCTTTGCAACCTTTCACGGCTACTTTTGCTGTTTTCTATTACACCAAAGTCTTCATCCCATTAAATAAATAAAACGAAAGTGAAAATACTCAATTTTCCGCAATCGCAATGAAGAATGCTCGTTCTCGACCAATCCTCAAAATGATCGTTCCCGCTCTTCTCGAGTAACAGGCGATCGACGAATGAAACTTCGAATAGTCGAACATCACGCGTGATTCGCATAACTTCGAATACAAATTCGAATATTCCAACAGTAGTTGAACTATCCGAAGTTGAAATCGATACTTTTCACACTTATGAATACCACTATAACCACATTACCATTCATTCTCATTGTTCTCTTTAAATTATTGCACTTTACAATCTTCCACGACTACGTTTGCTTTTCTCTATCGCACTAAAGTCTTCGTCCTATTAACCAAAATAACATAAATTGAAGAATAAACTTCCTCGATTCTCGATCGATTCCTCGAAAATCATTATTCACACCTTACTCGTCATTCCTCCTCACAATCTTCCTTCGTCGTTCGATCGACACCTTCGTCGTCCCGATTCGTACCCTTGCCGCATAATCGCCACCACCATCGAAACACCAGTTGGATCGATTACGCACCCTGACCCACCCCAACGCTCCAGCTTCGTCGCAATCCGTCTCCAAGTTCAGCGTCAATTTATTTATAAGCACCCATAACCCGATCCCACAGCCGCACCCTTCGATAAACAAACATCCCCCTACCCTTCAGGTTATGCAAAAGGGAGGACAAAAGGAGGGGCGGGACGACGAGAGGAGGAGAAACAGAGGGGGGGATTATCCACCTGAGATAAACAGGACGCCTGAGCCGCCCTATTAATCCGTTGACCAACATAAATCATCCGTTCCGTTTCGTTCGATCGATCGATCGTTCGTACCGCCACGCGAAGTGGAGCGTCTCGCCTCGAGCGCCGCGACGACCGAGCATTCAGCGAGAAGGAGGAGGAGGACGTGGGGAGGGCGAGGAGGAGGATCGTGACGACGAGGAGGGAAGGTCAGAGCTCAAGCCAACGTGTCCACTACGCGTTTATATAGAAGAGGGCACCGTTTATTCATCACCCATTAGACCGGGACATTTCGTTTTCGACTGACACGCGGGAACGAATTTCTGACACTCTGGCCGGATTTCACGATACCCGATCGTTCGATATTAACACCGTGGAGATATACAGGCAATCGGTGAGTGAATTTGAACCGTTCTATTTACAACGGATTTCGACGATAATTGCGTTAAACAGTGACGAATGGGGAATGTGCTCGTGCTAGGGATTTTCTTCACTTGGTGCGTTTTGTACGTGAGGATCCGCAAGGAAGTTGGTGAGACGGTGAAGAAAGTGTCGAATGGGAAGTTTGAAAGGTGGAGATTTATTTTCGAGTAGTTTTCAGTTCTTTTCACTTTATTAACCTTCGGAAGAGTTGAATTGGAAATTTTGCTTTTGAGGAATTTCTAACGCCTTTGATATACAGAGTGTCGTGTAACTGGTGGTAACGCCGCGAAGGGAGTGAATCTATCTGAAAAAGTAAGTTGAAAGTATAGAATAAAAATTTGTTATACGAAGATTTATTTTCGAGAAAATCGACTTTAAATGTTTGCCTGGTACCTGTGCACTTAACTATATCTCGACTCATGTTTGTACCAATGTCACGATCAGTACTGAGAACACATTTGTCAAGGGTTTCCGTAATTTCAATTTACATTATTGAACGAATTGGTCAGAGACGCATATAAATTTTTGCTCTTTGAATCGGGAATTAGTAGTCCGATGATACGGCATTTCGACGCTTCAATTGCCTGAAAGCGTATACGATTCTTTCGTTTCGCTGCAGAAAATTAACACTATTTTCTGTGTAGACTATTTCCCTACGGAAGATAATGTCACTGCTGTTTAATGTAGAAACACATTACTATCACGTGCTATTACGGGACATTCGAAAAGTGTGAACCGACGTATTACCATTGTTTTAAACCTGTTGGAACCAAATTACAATTATATCACGCCGTTCACGGTATTTCGTGGCCGCTCACGTGATAGCACGTGATTTCACGTGACGCGAAATCATTACTAAATGTACCTTTATCGACATAAACAAAGGTACTTTAAATTCAATTTTCTTGAAAATTAAGAGTTCTATGAAAAAAATTTTATTCTGAGTTTTCGATTCATTTTTTCACGTAGAATCACCGCTTTCCACGCGACACCCTGTATATAGGGTGTTCTGTTTATCTGGAAACGGTGTGATACCTCACGAGGGATGAAAATAATGAAAACAGTGTTCATAAGACAAGTTGGTCTACAAGTTGACATTAGATGGTCTAAATAATGTTTCTGTAGATGCAGTAGTGGGGGAGATAACAAAGTTAAGTTCACTTTTTTGTATGGAACTGTATATTTTTTTATTCGTAACATGGTAGCGCTGTTCAGACGAATTCAACGAAGTGCCGCATTAAGTCATTTCGTAAGTTGTGAAGAATCGGGGAGTCGGATCAGATCAACATGTTCCGGCACGCTGTGCTATTAATTCTCCACGATTTTGCAACTTTCCATAAAATAATTATGGCTTTATGTGACACTTCGAATTCGTTCCAACAAACGCTATGATATTAAGAATAGAAACATATAGGGTTCCATTTGAAAAAATGAACTCGACTTGGATATCTCCTCTACTACTACGTCTACAGAAAAATTATTCATACCGCCTAATGTCCATCTGTATACTAGACAACTTTTGTAAGAGGATTTTTTTGATAACTTCCATCCCTCGAGAGATATTCCACCGTTTCCAGTTAAACGGAACACCGTGTGTGCATTTTTTTGACATTAGAAATTTATTTTTTGAGTAATTTCTACTTCTTCGGCCAAAAGTTTGGAATCACCTCTCACTTTTCATCAATATTACATCTGCTGCTAATTTTTTATAGACTCGAAGTTTATCTCAGTTCTGCTTTTATCAATGGATTCGAATGATAAAACATTCTCAAAGTCGCTGACTTTTTTCTGGAAACTTTTGTGTAAATTGCAATGCTCGGTGATTCCAAACTTTTTGCCGGTAGTGTATGTATATTAGGTTGAGTAAACAGTCCGTTCGCGTTTCTTCACAAGAATATAAAGCTTTGTTATTTTAATATTAGACTTACCTAATCAATGAGATACGTACCATTTTGTCGCATGACCTTTTCTCATCTGTTTGCTAACTTAAAAATTCTTGTGTTTCTTCATTAAAAAATTCAGACCTATGCATTTTGCCTTGGACGTTGCTAGTGGTTTGTATCCCGGCTTAGAGCAATGTTTACTCCGTTTTGTATTATCAAATACAATCCATTTTTCATCACCGGTGATAAGTTATTTTAAAAAAAGGACGATCTTTGTACCGCTTTAGCAATGAATCGCCAAATCGAAATGCGGTCGAGCAAATTCTTTTCCATTAGCTCATGCGGGACCAAAAACGTCGTACTTATTCGTCGTTCCAAGCTTTTTCAAATGCAAGGAAACTAATTTTTGCGAGATATTTCATATGTTTGCAATCTCTCTAGTTCTGTGCCTTGGATTTTGTTCAATACAATTTGCAATTTCATCGTCGTCGATCTCTTTCGGCCTGCCACTTCGTTTTTCTGTTTTCCACATTGAAATCTCCACTATTGAATCGTTTAATCCACTTTTGGATGGTACGTTTGTTAACAGCATCCTCGCCGTACACATCACAAATTTCTTTTCTCATTTCTTCAATATTTTCCTTCTTTCGAATATAAAAGGGCATTAGGTGCCGAAAATGAATACTCTGTTCGCTCATTTTTAAACGCTTATGACTCGAATAATACTGAGAGAGAACTGCCTAATACTGAACGCAAAGCATCTTTAGACTGTACCTAATGAAATACGTTTATCAATTGAAGTCAAAATAAGCAAGAATATTAGATAACATTACCGAGAAGAGCGAGCCGCCGTCTACGCGAACGGATTTTTTACTCAACCTAATATACACTACCGGCCAAAAGTTTGGAATCACCTCCCACTTTTCATCAATATTACATCTGCTGCTAATTTTTTATAGACTCGAAGTTTATCTCAATTCTGCTTTTATCAATGGATTCGAACGATAAAAAATTCTCAAAGTCGCTGACTTTTTTCTGGAAACTTTTGTGTAAATTGCAATGCTCGGTGATTCCAAACTTTTGCCGGTAGTGTATACTGTATATGTATATATATTTTTTTTTTGAACATTGGCTATCGTAAAGGAATATGAGAGCTTACCAGTCTCAATAGATTATTTGATAAGAAAACGCCGTGAAGAAATATTCTGAAATAAACCCCCAAATGTCTACGTTTTTCTGAATCAAACGCTGTGAAAAGTATTTTAAAGAATCTCATGAGCACGGAACATAATTCACAATCTCAGTGGAGATTATTAATTAGGCTGAGACGAAGAAAAGCGTTTTCCAAGTTTGCGTGATAGAAATATAAAAAAGAAGATACAACACAGTTTCATATGATGGGTTTACATTCATAAAAAAGGCATGAATTAGTCACAATCGCGTCAAATTATTCGTACAAGAAAATAACAAGTTAAAGATTTTCAATTGTTTCCTAAAATTAGAATTAAAGTTTCTTCCGAATGAATGAAATGTCCAACTACATTATTCCGAATTTATCATTACAATTTCTCTAAGATATCCCACTTGGAATAATTCGTCCGTGTCTCGTTTAGCTTATCCACGAATCTTCTCTCTTATTTTCTCCATCCTTATCTCCAAATCGCCCGTGACATTCTCGCGACAACTGCGCCAGCCTTGACCTCGTGTAATCGGGATTACTTTAACGTCGAAAACCACCGAGAAACTGTCTCCCGCTCTCCACCATGAGACTCGATTTCCCGTATCGCCAGAAACAGAAGAGTCTCACTTTCAAAATCTCATTTATCCCGTTTTCCTTCGGAAAGAAGCCGCCTCGACTGTACATGGGAACTTAACAGCGAATAGTAATTGCAGCTCACTTTTCGAACGTGAATTACTATACCGCGTGGGAATGTTATTTAAAAGTTCGAGGAACATTTCGATTGGACAAATTGTTACGCCAGCTTGACGGCTGTTCTGTCAGTGTTTTGTTGGCACGTGGCATAGATCAACGAAAAAGCTTGTAATTTCGTGGCTATGTGACATTCCACGGTTGACAACGAATAATTTCGAATCCGCTGGGAATCATTTATTTTAACGAGCGATTGTGCATCACGCTCTATTTCTCATGCTGGTACAGCGAGTTCGCTTTTCCCTCGATACTGCGTTTTGATCTCACTTGCTGTGGAATATTTTTTTGTTTGTTTTTGAAATTACGCGAAAGAGTTGAATAATTATAGCGATTGTAATTGAATCAAATTTTTCGTTTTTGAGATTTCGTGAAAGAGTTGAATAATTATAGCGATTGTAATTGAATCGAGTTTTCTTTTGAGATTTCGTGAGAGTTGAAAAATTGTAGTGATCGTAATTGAATCGAATTTTCTTTTGAGATTTCGTGAAAGAGTTGAAAACTTACAGTGATTGTAATTGAATCGAGTTTTCTTTTGGGATTTCGTGAAAGAGTTGAAAACTTACAGTAATTGTAATTGAATCGAGTTTTCTTTTGAGATTTCGTGAAAGAGTTGGAAAATTGTAGTGATCGTAATTGAATCGAATTTATTTAGTATATTTTGTGATGCTGCAGAGACACTTCACGAAGATATTTTCCAATCCTCGCGAAGGAAGAGTTGAATAATTACAGCGATCGTAACTGAATCGAGTTTTCTTTTGAGATTTCGTGAAAGAGTTGAAAACTTACAGTAATTGTAATTGAATCGAGTTTTCTTTTGAGATTTCGTGAAAGAGTTGGAAAATTGTAGTGATCGTAATTGAATCGAATTTATTTAGTATATTTTGTGATGCTGCAGAGACACTTCACGAAGATATTTTCCAATCCTCGCGAAGGAAGAGTTGAATAATTACAGCGATCGTAACTGAATCGAGTTTTCTTTTGAGATTTCGTGAAAGAGTTGAAAACTTACAGTGATTGTAATTGAATCGAGTTTTCTTTTGAGATTTCGTGAAAGAGTTGAAAACTTACAGTGATTGTAATTGAATCGAGTTTTCTTTTGAGATTTCGTGAGAGTTGAAAAATTGTAGTGATCGTAATTGAATCGAATTTATTTAGCAT